CTGAACGAGAGAATCTTAGCGGAAGCATCCCAAACCAATCACTACCTAAGCTACCATCACAGGTACTTGACCATTTCCTGCATTTTACTGCCATTTTATTGCTGCTCCCATTGTCCCGGAGGTGAGCAGGTAACACCCTGCAGTGGTTAACAAATCTCAGCCGAGGGTTTTATGACTAGAAACTTAAATCACACTCGGTCTGGGAGTGTCAAAGGGATACTAACAATGAACTGTCGAGACCACCGAGCTGCACTTCCAACAACCTGATATGCAGCGAGTCGAGCTGGTGGGTCTTGTTAGCAAAGGCTAAAAATCCGCTTCCCGGTGTGAAAGGCTGCTGAGAGGTGTCTGTCGGCATGAATGGGGCTGAATGAGGCTCCATAATGGATGTGAATTGAGACGGAGGTTCTTTTTGTGATGCAGATATGTGTGTGAGCTGGTTTGTCAGCTGTTGTGACAATGACCTCTGAAAGTAGGACACTGCTGATTATAATCAGAACAAAATACAGTCAGGATATCGAGTCTTTCATTGTAAAGCTACTTTTAGAAAGATATGTCTTTTGGGTAGACGTATAAACAAGAACAAGTTAGTGTTTTTGACGTAAAGGCCAAACAAAGGACTTTTAATATCAATGAAGTTTAAAATTCCCCAATTGTGATTTTGTCAGGGCTTGTCAGCTTTGGTTCAGTGATAGTACTTGTTTTGTTAGGAACTTATTCAAGACCTTTTTGCAACTCAAACAAGGAGCAGACAAAAGTTATGGTCCATTGGGTTTCTTCCCTTTGTATGATGATAGGCTTTGTGCTCTGCCTTTGAGAAGAGCTATAAAAAAAAATTACCTTTTGGTGTTACAACTTCACGTACAAACTAGTTTCTTTCAAGCGTACTCCCCTCTTTAAGATGGTGAGACCAAAAACACGTCATCTTTTCGTAGAAATTATATTAAATTGCAGATCGTTTATATATCCACAATGACCTCCACACCCTTACATTTACCAGAATGAAAGCAAATGACAGTTGAACTGGATGATTGTATGGTCCTGCAAGACTTTCAAAGCCTATGATCTAATCCTTGGTATAAGAGATAGATTACACTTTACACTACTTTAACATCAAGAATGGTCTCTAGGTTTCATGACGACCTGTCTTGCAACAAGTTGAGAACATGTCACTGTCCTTGTTTATGTTTCGAACGTCCAAAGGGCGATGTCCCTCCTGATATTTGCATTATTTCAGTTAAACGGCCTCTTGCCTCCTGGGGATGGAGCATAGTAGTGGTTGTAGAGTCCAGGTGTGAATGACTGCTATAACATTGATGAAGAAGAAAAGAGCTGATTAGCACAATAAAAGGTGAAGAAGAAAAGGCCAAATGACCAGTTAAACTATGTTCTAATAGATAGAATAAGTGAGTAAGTGTGATGGGTTTGTGTGGAAGAGTGTGTTGTCCAGACATGGTCTTGGATTTAAAGTATAGAAAAGCCTCTAGATCTTTTCTGAACCATTGTCCAAAGCCTATGCCAAAAAATAACACTGTCCAAAACGTTTTGCCCAAATTAGTTTACTGGGCTAAAGGTTAGACCCCTATTTTTTGCAGATAATGGACTTTTAAATAATACTGGATAACAGCTCAAGATTCCTCCATCAGATTAATTCTCATTGTTCATTTTCTTAGAATGTTAGGGTTAGGTTAGGTAGAATTGGGCTTAAAACTTGCCATTTTACTACATTTCAAAGTCCACATTTTAAGCAGTTGTAGCTATTTGTGAAACTGTGCAATTGTGCACATTTACCATGTCTATATCATCAATTTGTATTTGTAAGCGCCTGTGTCAAAGGTCATTGCATAAACCCCCAATTTGTTATTTCCTGCTCATAAGCCTCGGACATGTGAATAAGACGGGAGTATCATCCATTCAGCACATGTCCAGGAGTCCTGATACATTACGCCATTGCCTGAAAAAGACCCATTACTTTGAGTAAAAACCCCATTTATAATGCAAAGGAAGAACAGAAGATGGATGCCTGCAGTTAAGTTGTGATCCTACACATTTTAAAGCCAAAGAATCCAACTCAAAAAGTAAACGTCAAAGACCTCCTTGTTGACTTTTAAGAACACAACAAACGGACACCTTCAACAAAAGACTATCTTAAAGAACGTTCTGAATGTTTCTGAACTGGTGCACCCTGATCTTTTTCCAGAGGAAGCCAAGGAGACAGCAAGGTCAACTGTCCTCTTGTCTTTTCCAAAGGACAAGGGGTCTTTGGCCACAAGCCCAGGCCCAGTCTGGAGGCTGATATCTTTCTATTGTGTTGGATAAAGCCACTCATCCTCTGACCTGTCCTCCATTCGCACCAGAGCATTTCTCACCCACTCATTGTCTCTTTCCGTTATCTGAATTAAGTACTTGTCGGTCACAGAAATAGAGCTTTTTCCGCTCAACCCTATGATTTTGAATGCTTTTGCAAATCGAGATACAAATCTTGATGCACATCTCTTAGAGGGTTGAACACAAAGTGGGGTTTACAGAGTGCAGCCAAGACTTGAGAGCTTTTCTGAAAGGTTTACCCTCAGACTGGACTGCCAAGCTTCTTCTCTTAATTCCAAATGTGTGTTGGCACAACAGGAAAGATGGCAGTTTCGGAAAAAGCATGACAACTCCATCTCTATGCACACAGAGAATCTCTCGCTCTTCTAAGCTAGTAAGCTAACGGAGCCATTCCTCATTTGTAACAGGTATTTTGGCATGTGACAACAGCTCCGTTGCCCCGTCTGCAAGTCACTTTGTGGGGTTGTCAAGGGAGAGG